CAGAATATCCCAGTGGAAGAGACCCACAAGGATCATCGTCCAACACCATGCCTGTCTTTTCTGCATGCTCCTAGTACTTACAGCTCTGAGCCCTGTACTTGATCCACTTCAGAATGGATTTCCCAGCTGTGCACCAGGAAAGAGTGAGAATGAAAACGCAACTCAAGTCTTATTTCTCCCCAGGACTTAGTGACGAGTTTACTCAGGAGAATGCTGCCTGCTGTGGCTCTGGACTCTGTAAAATATGGGAGCGGTCACTTCAAAAGCAGGTGGCAGGTGGTTCATTTTCTTCAAAAATCTCTGCTGGAAGAGCCTGGTGGCTACAACTAACTTTGTACACCAGGAGGTATCTGTCTGAACCTCTGCAGGAAGCAAAGAAGAATTGAACTGGGGGTTTCGGAAGAACTTAACCACCAATCTTCTCCATCTGCGTAGCTAAAAAGAAACGTGTCACCAGGTGCTCAGCCAAAAGTTCAAGAAGAAAGGCTGTCCTGAAAACTGACAGGGGTTTTTAAGTTAAAAGGCTGAAAATATAAATAAAGACATCTGAAGGGTGCACAATTGAAAGGATGGGGGGGGGGGGGTGGAGCTGACTGATGGTGGCCCAAGTCACTGTTGGTTGTATTTTCTCCCCAAAGTGTTACCTACACTGCTGCTTCTCCCTTTGGGTGGCTGGTTCCTAATCCAAGTTCACAAATTTTTTTACATGTTTGGTTGCACTCTACAAGCATTTATCAAGGCACTGCTTGAATTTATGCAGGATTCATCAATCTAAGGTAAATACCATGGTGAATCAAGAACAAAAGTGATCCCCAAAGGATTACTTCTGGCTCACCAATTTATAATTTTCAATTTATTCTGGCTGTGTTGAGATTTTGGGCAATGAAGCAAACTTCATCACTGAAAAAAAAATCACCTGGAGTATTAGACTGCTAAAAGACATATGAATGCCTCCTCAGTGGTGGGATTTAGAAAAAAAGTAGAGCAAAATTTTCCTTTATATTATATAACGAAGAAGTTACCTATCTGTAGCAATGGTTGGAAAATAAACAAATACATAAATATGGAAAATGTCCACTGCCGCCTTGCATATTTCTAAGAAATAACAAAATATTTTTAAGAAATAACACACCGTGATGTTCTGTAGCAGACACTTCAGCAGAGAAAGAAAGAGTATGTCACTTGAACCTTCTTACAGATATTCAGAAAGCAAATATTCCATTTTCCTTTATTTTTCCACAGGTCTTGCTTTGAAAAACGGTTGTAAAAGGTTTCAGAATTAAACTACCAACTAGATGAAAGTACTTTATCTGTCTTTCAAACAGGGACAGCAGCTGTGTGAGATTCCTACCCAGTTCTACTCCATGCCCTCAGCCTCTCATCTGTGGGACCGGTGTGGCACTGGCTCAGTCTCAAGTCCCAGTCTGTGGCTGCAAGAAGTCCGCCAGTGCAGGGCCAGCCTGATGGTGTAAAAGCTTGTTCGAAATTAGGTGATGACCCCCTATCACTTCCCACATACGTCATCTGGAAGTCATCATTTCTGTTTGAAAGGATGGTTGTTCAGGAATTTTATGTATTTGGAAATCCCTCCATAAGCAGGCGTTTTGGAGATCTACAAAAAACTCAAAAACGTGGAAGTAACATGGCAAAATGCTTTGAACAAAAAGTACTAGCCACCGTGGAGACATTTGAGCCCGCTGACTGCATTAAAATAGTCACAGAGAGTTGGACAGAGCCCTACATGGGGAACCCAGGGGCACAAGCTAGACTACAAGGCCAGCATCAACATAGGTATTGTGCTGTACCTGACATGGTCCAGTCCTTTGGCAATTTCTCAGCACTACAAAAAATTTCAGGGCAATAAACCAGCACCTGTCACCATATTCTTTCTTTCCATACTAACAGAAACTAACAGTGAAACTAAATTTCAACCAGAAAGACCAGCTTTTTACCAAGGGACTCTAGAGCTGCTCCACAACCACCATCCAGCCCCAGGATATTGTCACTAAATCTTCATAAACAAAAACCTACCGCATCAAGGAAAAAGAAACCTTTGCTGCTGCTCTGGTTAGGTACACTGCATCATAGACTACAAAAGTGTGGGTGGTGCTCTGGGGCTGTCAAATCATCCAAACAACAGAGACAAGAACCACTCCAACTGGTCAGGGACAAAGTCACGCCATCTGGATTTTCAAAGATGTTGAAAATGCATTTGGGAATGAAAAACACACAACAGCTAACATGCTGGTCGGCTACGATGCAGATATCCAATTTACAGACAAAACAACAGTGCCTTTTCTCTTAGTCATAAATTCCAGAATGATCCGATTCTGAATAGCACTCCCAGATACAAAAGAAAAATAGGGCAGATGATGAATATTTTATCGCTGAATCCTTGCTATATATAATCATATTATTTTATTATCTCATGCTGCGCAGAAAAAAACATGGGAAATGAGGCTAGATTTGTGAATGATAATAATAATTTGTCAAGCTGTTTGATACAAGGATGAAAATACAATAAACATGATTTTAAAAGTTGAGATAGGAAGACTGGTTACTGCCATGAAATGGGAAAATATGGAAGTGATTTAAGGGCATTAAAGGAATCTAAGAAAGCCTGTGATAGAATAATTTATTTAGCAAAATCAACAAAATAAAGTACCAATAACACCAGCAAAAGCTGTATCCATTAAGACAAAAGAAAACAATTTTGACAGTCCTGGGAAGGAAAGATGGCCATAAATAAGGTAACAGTAGCTTTGGCCATGGTGGCCTGGTATTTCATCTGAAGTGTAGTAGTTCTGTTCCTAATTGCACTATCTCTGTGTATTTTATTATTAAGAACATACTTTAAAAACATAACAAAGCAAAACCTCATAACCTCTGAATGGGAAAAAAAATAATCTGAAATGAAATAGCCTGGAGAACACTGATTGAGATTTTCAATGCTGTTGTTTTTAATGTTTTCAGGGAAGGGTTTTCCTCATTCCTGGCCTGTCTTTGAAAACTTCAGGCCTTTGTAGGCAGGACTTTAAGTCTCCACAGTTCACAAGGGATTATGGATGGAATCAATCATGCTCTAAACATGAACCTTTAAAAATTAGTTTTTCAAATAAAAATCAAAGCAGTAGATGAGTACCAAAGCAAATATTTATCAATGTATGAGTCAAACTGAGTGACACTTTGGAGTCTAACAGGAACTAGCATCACACATCTGGGTTCAGGTGTCAGATTTGATTATTTCAGTTAGGTTCTCTCATACCAAGATTAGACACTCTGCACCCAGCCTGAGAAATCAAATTGGACAAATTCCCTTGTTTATAACCCCGTAGTAGAAAAAGGTTAAAGCAGGCCTTTCTTCTGCTCCAGTAACAAAAGAGCCCTTGAAAACAGTGGGAGCCGCAAATACCTGAAAGACTTTTAATTAGTCAACCTCTGAAAACTCTTGAAAAAGATAACAGAGACGGAGCTCCCTAAAGGTTCCCACATACCTTTCTCCCTTTAATTAAAAAAAAAAAAAAAAGTATAAAAGAAGAATTGAGATCTAACACACATTTCAGGTATTTTTATCTGCTATGCAATATCAGGAGTCGCGTGTCAATTACCTCTAGAAAAGCTACTCAGAAATTAGAGCCTGCCCAGGTCAAATTAAAGCAGGTTTTCTCCTTGGCTTGCATGTGTTGCAAGGGTACCACTGGATCCCATGACTTCTGTGCCCTTTCATCCTGACTTGCAGTGAGTAATCCTGCTGCACTTCAAAGCCTTGTTGGTTGAGAAAAACAGCAGCAGAGCTCAGAACAATAATGCATCCTTGTTGTTTTTATTTCTAAATTAATGGATTAACTGACTGTTCACCATACCAATGTCCATTTCAGAAACATGGCTTCATACTGCAAGAGAGCCAGGCTAATGCAACCAGCCAGTGCATTTACCAGTCCAGAACTAAAACCCCTAAAGCAGCACTTAAAGCATAGAACTAGGAGAGCTGCACGCACATGAAGCACCTTTAGGCATTATTACATACACGCTGAAAGGACACATTTACATCGTGGGAGATGCAGGACTTTGTGCTGCTGAATACACATCCATAAACAAACGCTAAGTATGACTGGCTGTGCTTATCATTTCCCCTTTACGCCTCCAGCCACTTCCAAGGACTATCATTCAATACTAAATGTTGATTTCAAGTCTTCCCTTTGTGAGGATGTATTGGATGTGGGACAGGAAGGAAGCCCCTTCACTACATTAATGTGAGCTGGTGATGGCATGAGGGACAGAGGGAGAGAGATCAAGTATCACTGAGAGAGGTATTTCAGTATATTAAGGGACTAGGGAAGTTTATCTATCGCCTTGTATTTCCTTATGTATTTATGTTTGACCTCCTTTAGGTGTCCTCTATCTTCTGTGGGAGAGCTTCACGGCTTCTCCAGAATCTCAGTCCTGAAATAAGAGTGCAACAAATGTATGTCCTTGGTAATTCATCTTACTGTGTGTGATGCTTCGATAAAGCTTGTCCTGAGGGTAAAGCATACTACCTTGCCAGTGAAATATACTGCCCTTTCTTTCCGCTTTCACCGTGGATCATTATAGAGACTGCCCTTACTTTCCACTTTCACTGGGGGTCACTCAAGAGAGTGATCAGCCTTGGCCTGGCTGGTCCAGATGCACGGCTTCAAAACCAAATCAGTTCTACTGAGGTACCGTACCTACAAATTAAATAATGAGTGGAATAACCATTATGTCACTGGATGGTGAACCTTTACATTTCTAATGGTTGTGGTAAACTAGATAGGGGAAGGAAGTTGGTTATTTCCGATAACATCTTTCAGATATGAAAAGTAATACCAAGAAGAAATCAATTAGATATGAAACACCTATTCAACTGCATAAAGCAGCACAGGTATCACAGCCCAGGGCATGCACCAAAACTACCACATTCGTCTAAAGACAACAGTATCAAAAAAAAAACCACCCTGTTTTGTTAAACAAGGACTTACCTTTCTGCCATGGATTTCTTTGGGAAGTAAAAATCCGCTCCTGCGAGGTAGGCAGCTGCAGTTCCACCTCCGAAATAGGTTTTCCTCAAGAGGGGGGCAATCCGGTTGTTTACCAATAATGCTCCTAAACCAGTAGGAAATCCAAAGATTTTGTAGAATGAGATAGGGATAAAGTCAGCTTGGTGAACTCCCAAGTCTAACGGAGAACAGCTCACATACGAAGCTGCATCCAGAAGAACAAACCACTTCCCTGGCATTTTGATGGGGCAGAGTTTTCCAGATTTTATGTCCTGTATCCATGAAAGGGGATATTTGGTACCAGAAAAATTGCTCTGAGCTGGGTAAGAGAACAGATGAGGTGTCGTGCAGTTTTGTTCTTCAGCTGGTAACCAGTTTTTCTCAGATAACAATTCCTTTGGTTTTACCGGAACAGATAATACATTCATCAAGGCAGTCATCCCCCTCATACCCACCACAGACGTGTGGCTGTCAGTTAGGTAACAAAATCGACTACTGGGTTGCTTCGAGCCTTCAGGCATCCATGGGAATGCTTCTGCTACCAGTTTAAGTGCAGCTGTGCATCCAGATGTGAAAATGACAGTGTAATCTTCAGAAGTAGTGCCAAAATGTTGCAATATTCTGGAAAAAAAAAAAAAAAAAAGAAAGAAAGAAAAGAAAGAAAAGAAAGATTCAATTATTTTCTGCCTTTTTTTTTTTTTTAATTTCCTAGTTTATTACCATGTGCCTCATCTCTGGAAGTGTTCAAGGCCAGGCTGGATGGGGCCTCAGGCAACCTGATCTAGTGAGTGGTGTCTGTGCCCATGGCAGGAGTTGGAACTAGATGATCTTTAAGGTTCCCTCCAGCCCAAGCTGCTCTGTGATTCTGACATATTCTCTATTCCCTCAGCATAAATTCTTCTACTCTGACACCTAATTTAAATAGAAGTACGCAGGTTTCGCCAAATAAACTTCAACAAGCAAAACCAGAGTAATTCTGCCCACAGGAGACTTTTTCCAAAGCTGCAGTGAATGTGGCTGAGTTTTTAAGGACGGGAGCCAATTCTGCTTGGCTGTGAACAGAGCGGCCAGTCCAGTCCCTCAATGGGATCGGAATTAAGCCTGCATATGATTAAAATGTACATACACTGACCTTGAAATAGACCATTTATCTGCACAGGATTAGATTCTGGGTTTTCTGTTTGATTGCTGTTGTTATTTAGTTTACAAATTATCTGGAGCAGACAGAGTATCTTTCATTCATTCAAAAAAAGAAAAAAAAGAAGACAGCAACAAGCAACAGATTTACACACATAAGGCTGTAATCTCTGTTGTCCACAAAGACAGCCTAAACCAGACACAATACAATGTCTTTCAATGAGCCAGACTTAGGAAACTTAACCGAGCCATTTTCTTGAGGCACGCCTACTCTACACACTTGCTGATGCCTGGACAGCACCTAGTTGGCTCTAAACTATCTTTTGTGCCCCACCAGCTGTTGGTACCCAGGCTAACTTGCACATCTCTTACAGTATTACGGTGCACAAGACAGACTGGCATCAGGTTTTTGCAGAGGTTGAGAAGCAGCATTAGTTCTGTCACTTTCCTTGTATGACAACCCAATGAACTTTTTCTTAATGAACTTTTATAAAAATCCTATTAACAGGAAACGTAACAACCATTTAGGAAGATTGAGTAGATTAAGCAGAACAAACAACTGAACCAGAGCATAAATGTTGCTGCTCAGAGGTGCTGTCTGGCTTTCAAGAAAGGTAAGATGTTTTAGGGTTTCTTAGAGCATCTCTCCTGCTGCAGAGCCTTTCTGTAAACAATGTAAGGTGTCATTGCTCTCCAAGCATCTGGTTCTCTGCCCTGTGCAATTCCAAGGTACAGCCCAGACTCTGGGTAATCTATAAACCCTGGCCTTCAATGTGTATCATTAGAAGTTTGCATGTTTTATGTAACAGGAGATTGCCTTACTAGGGCTGGCATTTAAATGTTGCATTTAAATGCAAGTTCTTCAAAAGGTTATGTGGCAAATTCAAGCTAAAATTTCTTGAGCCACAGAACAGCAGAGAGAAAAGTTTTACGTGTCCAGTCTGAAAGATGAATGCTACAGGCAAAGAATGGTAGAGCTGGGTGTGTGCTTCAGACAAAGCTCTGGCAACGGGAAAGGAACAACTGCAATGACTTTGATGATTAGGAATAAAAACTGGTCTACAAAGGTACATTGAAATAATATTGACAATACATCTGTCTGCTGTAGGAAAGTCTTGTACTGGGAAGCACAAAACGCTTCAGATGGCTTCATAATCCTGGTGAGATTTTAGTTTCTCCAGGACTTCAGTTTTTGAGATCTGATGCAATTGTGGGGAAGTCTGTGCTGCCTGGTGATGAAGAAAGAACTTCAGATTTTACAAAGGACATCAGCAGGTCATGGATTTTAGCTTGACATGTTTTGAGAAACCCATCTGAAAGAAGTCATAGAGATCTTTCTGAAGTAGACCTGCCAGGTGATAGCTGCAGCAAGCATTCACAGCTCCAGACTTCGTTTTTAAAGACCATTTTCAGAGAAACCAGATTTCCTCCTTAGAAACCACATTAGGGACGAAGACGGGGATAATCACAGCAGCTTAGTGCAGGGAACTGAGCTACCAGCCTGCTCCATTCATCACCGTGCCCTGCCCTCCCTGGTCGCTGAATGGCATCCACTCAACCCATCTCCTGCAGCGAGCTCTGCAGCCTTCCCCACCGCTGCCTACAGCAGAGCTGACTGTAGGCACCTGAAACCCTTAACCCAGAGAGCAGCCTCTGCTGCAGTTAGCCTAGCTGCAGGGTTACCACTTACACCAATTGCCCTGAATTTCCTTTATTCTTCTTTCCCTTCATTCACCAAGAAACGGTGGGCAGCAGGGCAAGCAAGAGTCCTACCTTACTTTTTAGGCAGGACAACATTAGACTGTGTGGTTATTTATTATTATTTTTACCTTGGGGAAAAAAAAAAAAAAAGGAACTGGAAAGAGTTGTTAGAAGGCCAGGTCTTCGTGGTTATGGACATGTTTACATGCATTATTTGATGTGGCTTGTTTTTATTTTTTTTTCCATACACTACAGTCATTGGAAAGGTCTTGGAATCATTACACTGATAAAAACACAAACTACAAAAAGCTGTGCAATTTCCAGAAAAAAAGTCAACAAAAAATATTGAATTTTCTATGTTTTTTACCTCTGTGACACTAAGACTAATTACATATTCATATGGATGTGCACTTAGAGAATACCTTTTGAGTTAAAAAAGCTGGGTTACAGGAGCAACCTCTTGATATGTAGTTTCCTTTCATAACAGCAAGCTGACAAAAGCAGCAATAAAAAGCACACTGAAGACTCTTATCAAGACTGTTCCTCTTTTACTTTCTGTGCTTTCTTTGCTCTCTTCCTCAGTCAACCTCTTTGTGCCACACAGGCTGAGTGGGAGGTGAGACAGAGCCAGGCAAAATGCCAATTTTACTACGGAATAATAACCTCCAGATCTCCACAGAAATTGTACTGACTTGCCGCAACACTTAATTTGACCAAAAGACACTGGAAAATGACAGTAAGTGGGATGCAGGTATTGTGGATCAGGATTTAATAAGAGGATGCTGTTGCCCAACCATGAAAATCAAAGCCAGCAAGTACTTTTATAACACATTTTCACAACTTTACAAAACAGCAAATAAATAACTAGATAGATAAATACATAAATTTGGGCTCACAAGTAATGACAGCTCTATGTTTAAGTCATAAATAAGAGACAAAGTTCAAGCACATTAGTAGTATTTTAACTATATTTAGTTTCTAATCATTCAAATTTAGAAACAGATGAACAGTACTGAAATAAAATCCACAACATAATATTGATATATTTATCTATTCAGTTCATTAGCAGAAACTGACTTTCACATGAAAATGATCTAGCTTTAGGGTGAAATTTTCAGAAGTGCCCAAAAGAATTAGAGCCATTTTTTGGTAAAGCATTTAAGTTCCTAAAGCTGGAGGAAAAAACAAGTTACTTTTCTAAATGCCTTCAATAGGAAATAGGTTCTTTTGTGAATCTCATTAGGTACCTATTTGCATTTTGGGTCATAGAACTGCAGAAGAGGTAGGATTTTCAAAACCAGACATACATTTTTGGCTAAAGTATTCCTGACATCAATAAATAAATAAATAAATAAAGCAAAAGCGACAGAGCCAAAAAAAATTCTCCTGCAGAATGACTTCTGATGTTTTCAGAACAGACGAGCTATGAGCACCTCAGGATGAGGTTTATAAAACAAATCCCACAAACTCCTGAGCTACAGCAGCATTGCTATGATAAAATCTGAGTACTTAGGGACAGAAAGCTGCAATACCTCTGAACGACTTCTGCAGACCCCAGCACTACATCCTCGCTTTTGACATTAATATTGGGAAGCACTGGCTATTACACACAGAATTCCTAATGCTCTGTGTCTTCATGTAAGACGTACCCCATTACAGGGAAATGCAGTTCACCTTTATTACACTCCTGGAAGATTTATAGCCATATATAAGGTAGTTGTTGGCAGCAGGACTAAGGACTTGCAGAAGAAAACTGATAGTTTGATCTACTATAGCTCACAGCTGCGAGCAGTAGTAGTATTTTATATTATTACAAATTTCCACTTTTGAAAGAACTCTTTGGAAGAAAGGACTAAGACGATAATTGTTTCATTAAGCATACTCATACAGCTGTGTCACCACGGGGAAAATTGCAGAAAGGATGAGAAACCTGACTCAGTACCTCGCTTCCAGGCTGGCAAGGGAGGGAAGAAGGCACATGCTCCATCTTCACCATGCGTCAAAGGCAAACCCCGCAACTTGCCTTGCTCTGCTGTGATCTGCCCTTCTTCTCCTCCCCCTCCTCTCACCTCTCCAAGAGGACACAGATCAAACACAAGGCAGTCAATAATGCAAGAAGCGTATCAGCTGAATTAGCTGTTGTTTAATCCTTTTAAAAAGCTACCATAAGAGTTTTGTATCACCATGAACACTATTGAGCCAAAATGCCTTACTGTTCTGAAGTCAACAATGGCAAGGAAAGTCAATTAATCTTCAACCAAGCTTGCTGTCTCATTTCATACACTTAATATGCACCTAATTAATAATGGGCTTTGTATTTAAAGTTATATATTTATATATTTATATAATATATATATTATAATATTATATAATATATATATAATTATTAATATATATAATATAATTATAATATATTATAATATTATATATATATTATAATTATAATATTATAATATTATATTATTATATTATATTATAATAATAATATATATATAAGTTATTATAAGTCTGATATTCTGAGGGAATAGCCTTATTATCTAACTTACCAAACACAACAGCCTGAATTAAGAGCTTAATTAGAATTAGACACTCCGAATTGCCACTGGCAGCTCTGCAGAGGGCACAGGCTACTGATTCATTCAGCTACCTTAGGTACACAGTCACCCAAGGCTGGATGAAAGGGTTGTCCTCCAAGGCTGTCACCTAGCTGTAGCTACCTCAGGTTAAAAAAAGAAACAAAACACAAAACGCAACAACAACAACAAAATACACAAATAAAAAAT